AAGGAATACTTTGAGGAGCTCCTCAATCCTACCTATGCGCATTCCGAGGAGGAACCAGAGCCGGGAGACCTGGGGATGGACCATCCATCGGGGGCAGAAGATGCTGAGGTAGTCTAACAACTACACAGCGGCGCAGCCCCGGGGGCGGATGAGGTTCGACCTGGGTATCTCAAGGCCATGGATGTTGTAGGGCTCTCATGGTTGACACGTCTCTGCAACATTGCGTGCTCATCAGGGGCAGTTCCTGCGGAGTGGCAGACCGAGGTGGTGGTCCCCATCTTTAAGAAGGGTGACCTGAGGGTGAGTTCCAACTATAGGGGGATCACACTCCTCAGCCTCCCTGGAAAGGTCTACTCCAAGGTACTGGAGAGGAGGGTCTGATCGATAGTTGAATCTCAGATTGAGGAGGAGCAATGTGGTTTTCGTCCTGGCCGTGGAACTGTGGACCAGCTCTATATCCTTGCAAGGGTGATGGAGGGGGCATGGGAGTTTGCCCATCTAATCCACATGTGTTTTGTGGATTTGGAGAAGGTTTATGACCAGGTTCCTAGGGGCACCAGGTTCCTAGGGGCACCCTGTGGGGGACGCTCAAGGAGTATGGGGTGGGTGGCTTTCTGTTAAGGGCCATTTAGTCCCTTTACCAGAGGAGCGTGAGTTTGGTCCGCATAGCCGGTAGTAAGTCGGACCTGTTCCCGGTGAGGGTTGGACTCCACCAGGGCTGCCCTTTGTCACCGGTTCTGTTCATTACCTTTATGGACAGAATTTCTAGGCGCAGCCGTGGTGTGGAGTGTGTCGAGTTTGGTGGCAGGAGAATCTCATCTCTGCTTTTTGTGGATGGTGTGGTCCTCCTAGCTTCATCCAGCACTGACCTTCAGCTCTTGCTGGGTAGGTTCGCGGCCAAGTGTGAAGCGGCTGGGATGAGGATCAGCACCTCCAAATCTGAGACCATGGTTCTCGACCGGAAAAGGGTGGCTTGCCAACTCCGGGTCGGGGAAGAGGTCCTACCTCAAGTGGAGGAGTTTAAGTATCTCGGGGTCTTGTTCAAGAGTGAGGGTAGGAGGGATCGGAAGATCAACAGGCAGATTCGTTCAGCATCTGCAGTGATGCGGACGCTGAGCCAATATGTCGTGGTGAAGAGGGAGCTGAGCCAGAAAGCCAGGCTCTCGATTTACCGGTTGATCTACGTCCCAATCCTCACCTATGGTCATGAGCTTTGGGTAATGACCGAAAGAACGAGATCGCGGATACAAGCGGCCAAAATGAGTTTCCTCCGTATGGTGGCCGGGCTCAGCCTTAGAGATAGGTTGAGGAGCTTCGACATTCGGGGGGGACTCCGAGTAGAACTGCTGCTCCTCAGGATCGAAATGAGCCAGTTGAGGTGGTTTGGGAATCTGGTCAGGATGCCTACTGGACGCCTCCTCGGGGAGGTGTTTCGGGCATGTCCTGCTGGCAGGAGGCCCCCAGGTTAACCAAGGACACGTTGGGGAGGTTACATCTCCAATCTGGTCCGGGAACGCCTTGGGGTCCTGCCGGAGGAGCTGGTGGAGAAGGCCGGGGAGAGGATGGTCTGGAGCTCCCTAGTTGGGATGCTGTCCCCACGACCCAGACCCAGATAAGCAGAGGAAGACGACGATGACGAGCAAGGACAACGCTAAAGGTTCCAGTCTTCAATGGCTGAAGGAGTAAAAACATAAAAGCAGTCCTTGGACACATCACGCCCTTCTCGGCCCAAAGCCCTAAGTAGACACAGAGGCACCAGCACCAAAATTGCGTCACTCACATGGCGAGGAGAGGGCAACCCACAATCCTCCACACTTGGCCGCTTGTCCACATCCCAGGATGGTGCTCCAGGTGCCAATATGCATTCTAGGGGGGTTGGGTGCCCGTGTCCTTGCCAGAGACGTCACTGTCCAGGGTGAGTCTCTTGCTCTCAATCAGGCCTCATGCATGTCTCTCTGGTGTCTGCTTCTCTCCTGGACTTATTCTTTGTCTTGTTTAATGGCGGGTGGCATCTAACGTCTAGGTGCAATACTGCCACCTACTGTGCTGGAGTGTAAGTCGGAGTAAGAGCGCCAAAAACAAAACTACTCTCCTGGACCTCTTCTTCTTCAGTGGGGGAGGCAGGCTAGACGCCCAAGAGGCGTATTTCTGCCACAGCTGCCCAAACACACTGCCAGAGAGCGTCACAGCCTCTCATAAACCCCCATCACATGCAGAAACCACATCAGGGCCCACACCCTACGCCAGTCCTCCACACCCAACAAGGTCCGCAGTGAAAACATTGACAGACCCGTAGCTCTCAACCTCCGAAAATAGGCATCCCTCTCATGACCATCCCGTCCACAGTGCAGAAGAACATGACACACAGACTCAGGCTCCCCACAATCACACCTCCCATCCATGCGTTTCCCCACCAAAAACAGCACGCTTCGAAGACCACAATGCCCCAACCTCAACCGAGTGAGGACCATTGAGTCTCTCCTCCAAAGATCAAGGACAGACCCACAGCCACCCACCAAACGATGCAACCCATAAAAACTCCTACCCAAAACCCCACCATCCCACGATGCCTGCCACAATCTCATGGCCTCCCTGCCTATCGCTGAACAATACTCAGGGGAGCCCATCGCGACCTCTAGGTCCACAACAGTACTCCTCAGCGCCGCCTTGGCCACAGAGTCCACCCTCTCATTGCCCACCACTCCCACATGGGCAGGAGCCCAAACATAACAAACTTCACAGCCAAAAGCCTGCAGATCATGCAGCATCACCCTGGCAGAAATCACCAGGTCTGGCCTAGAGCCAGAGCCTGACCTGACAGAGCCTCCAACGCAGCAGCTGAGTCAGAGCAGATAACAGCACGCCCCAGGACACGCTCCTTCACCCGTTGCAAGGCACATAAGATGGCAACCAACTCAGCCATGAACAAGGAACAGTGGTCCTGGAGCCGACAACCAAAGCTGAAGCACAGGTGCGGGACCACCAAACCCACCGCCACCTGACCACTATCAGGATCCTTAGAGTCATCCGTATACAGCTGCAAATTAGAGCCCCATTCCAACCCCATTCTGGCAGTGTGAGCGTCCTGTCACAGTGTCCATATTGATCATTAGCCCTGGCTACTTGGCCAAGGGGATGTCCCTTTGGCTGACTGGTTAGTGCGTATGACTCTCACCTGGTTGTCTGGGGTTCGAATCCCGCCCGGTTCCTCGTTTCTACACCTTGCCACACCCATTAAATCCTGAAAAGCACCAGCCACCCCACCATCACGGCATCGCCCCAAAAAGTTAAATCCACCTCCGGTACAGGCAGAAGCCAGGGTGTAACATCAGACCAGAAAAGGCACGAACAGACAGGCCAACCCAGGAAGCCCAATGCGTCCGCTCTATCCCGCAACCGGGCAGAAAATCCACCCTCACCAAAACGACCCCGCCCTCCAAACTCCCAATGCTGGTCCAACAGGCCCGATGCAGGAGAAGCATCACCCATACCCCTGATCCTCAACAGGTACTGGAGTCCCAGCTTGACTCGTTGAAACTTCAAGGGCATCTCACCCACATTGACCAGAAGGGCAGCAACTGGGGTTGACCTAAATGCCACACTACAAACACTCACAGCCGCTGCCTGCAAAACATCCAACCTCCTCAGGGTAGTAAGGGCAGCCGAGCTATACAGGAAACACCCATAATCCAGGGCTGACCTGAACACACTCTAGTACACCATCAGAAAGGTGCACCGGCTCGCCCCCCAATCTGTCCCAGCTGAACACTGCATCACATTCAAGGCCTGTCCACACCTGGCTTCCAGGCTCCAAACATGAACACCCCATGTCAGCCGCTCATCCAGCCACATGCCCAGGTACTTAAAAGAGGACACACGCTTTTGCAGCAGCCCACACAACGTTAAACCCACCGACGGGACAATCCACTTAAACCCAAAAACCATAAATTTGGACATGGATGTGGACAACTTAAAGCCCCAACGCCTCGACCAAGCCACCACACCATTCAAGCTGTCCTGCACCCTGCGGAAAAGAAATGGAAGGTTCCGGCCCCACTTCCAGAATGCCCCATCATCAGCAAACAAGGACCTCCCCATATTACCTCCCAAGGAGTCAAACCAGCCATTGACCATGATAATAAAAAGCAGCGGGCTAATCACACTCCCCTGAGGAACCCCGTTCTCCACCCCCACAGAAAACAACAACACAGAACCCACCCTAACCTGAATCGTCCTATCACGGAGAAAGCCCCTGATCCAGCGCAACATTCTCCCACGAACCCCAGCCAAGTACAGAGAAATTAAAAGCCTGTCCCTCCAAAGCATATCATAAGCCTTTTCGATGTCAAGGATCATCGCCAACCCTGCCTCCTTATTCGCCAAATCCTGCCTAACGTCCAGATCCAGAGACGCCACCGCGTCCATCGTGGACCGCCCCAGCCATGCTCTCCTGGACTCTTTCCTCAGTTCCTTTTAAACCTCATTTTATGAGTCCATTGCACCTGTGTGCATTCCACACCTTTTCCCATTTGTTTAAATTAGTTTCTCTGGGAGGTACCGCAAAGGGAAAGAACATTCAAAACACAAAATTAGTATGTCAACAATGACACAAATCATGCAATTTAAACTAAACAGCAAAATGGCAAATACAAACACAACTCATGCAACTTAAACTAAATCCAAAACTTTTTCACTTTGTGACAAATGGATGAATGGAAATAAACATGGTTGTACGGGCATTCCTTTTTTAATTGAATTATTCAAAAGTGATTATTTACAAACTTTATACTGTTTATAATTATAACTCTTAAAGAGTCTTGATTATAATATTGTGTGTACTATAGGGATTCTATAAATGTTTATTTTTTTAACCAAATCATTATAACCTGACAACCTCAGCACAGAAAAAATTGTGGGGAACCTCTTCCCAGATTGGGAACTACTGGGTTATATAGCTTTCCTGACTCCATTCCAGAAGGTGTCAGTAATGTACCTTTATGTTGGCTTCCCGACTGCTAAAATCAATGGAAGAAGACAACAAGCTGTTAGCTGAGTTAGCTTGTTGTTTGGCGTCAAGTGAATATCTTTAGTCTGCAGCAACAATGTCGTCAGCCCAGTCTCTGAGAGAGTTTATCAACAAGCGACTATCTGCTGCTGCTGAAGAAATATTCACGGAGTTTAGAAGAAACATCGTTCAGCTGGAGGAAGAGATCGATCGTCAGCGCAGACTGCTGGATCTCACCTGGAAACCTCAGATCAATTTACACAGAATAGGTATGAAACTCATGCGGGACTAATGCGGGTTTACTGAGGACAGAATCTCAGACAGGAACGTTTTGTACTCAGTTTTATGTTTATAAGGTTTAAGGTTTTTTAAAGCTATCTGACACGATTGAGGTGAAAGTGGTCGGTAAACGTTCTCATTAGTTTTTCTGCTTTAGAGAAATAACATTTTAAGAATTTTAGCAGCCACGTGTGCCTATTTGACAATTTACGGGTTCATAATTTTTCCATCTTTATTTGCATCAGATGATTAAAGTGAAGGGAGCTTTGAGCTTCCACATTAAAGATGGATTATATGTAGGGGTGCAACTAACTGGTGTCAAGCCAGCCTCCAGTTTGTTTTCTGTTCCCCGTCTATTCAAGTTATTACGGTAATGGATGTGGAAACCGGATTTCAAAATACATTTCAACTTCGAGTGAATTATCAGATATTTTAAGAACATAATAACAAATAATTTAGGCTTGTTCACTATTAGTGCCCTGTCAATATCAAGGCAATCTTATTTTGGATTTCAAAGTAAAAGCCCTGTGAATTTTCATTTTGAACTACTCTTTCAATGACTTCAGAATGCTCTTAAAAGCAAAAGTCATATTTCCAAAGAGCAGTTGCATTTTGTATCAACACTTTCAAACCACAGCAATTTGAAATTGCCCATATTTGACCGACTCTTAATGATTTCAAAAAGCTCTAAAATGGAAAATTGCTGTTTCCACAGGGTACTTCCACTTTATATCAACAGTACACAACCCCACAGTGATACTATATGAATATCAAAACATTCTGATGTGTTTCAAAATAAAGGCCTTTTAAAATTGTCCATAATTGACCTACCTTTAACAATTTCAAAATGCTCTAAAATGGAAAGTTGCTGTTTCCACAGGGTAACTCTACTTTATATCAACAGTATACAACCCCACAGTGATACCATATGAATATCAAAATATTCTGATGTTGCGTTTAAAAATAAAGGCCTTTTAAAATTGTCCATAATTTACCTACCTTTAACGATTTCAAAATGCTCAAAATGGAAAGTTTGGAGGGAGCTCCCTCTAGAAGTAAAGCAAGCTCCAGCTGCAAGCTCCAGCTCTTTAGATGTTTAAGTCTCGTTAGAAAACCCAATTTTACTTGTTGGCTTTTCCCCAACATTGTTCACCCTGGCTTTTGTGTTTTTACTTTTTCTTTTGTTTTGCATTGCTTTGAATTACTTATACTTGTGTTTATCTATTTATTGCACTTGATGCTATTTTTAATTCTATTTTAGCTGTCATGATGTCTATCCATGTTTTTATATAGTGTTCAGCACCATGGTTTCCATTAAGGTGCTAGAAGGTGCTACAAGTAATAATAATATTGCGATGACGATATGACTTGAAATAAATAAATACTTAACAAAAGAAAATCAAAAACAAAGACATTTAAAAATGTATAAAAAATTAATGGGAAAAGCATGATCAAAAGAAGAGAGGAAAGGGAAAAAGAAAATAAGAAAGAAAAGGCAATCAGTGGATTCCAGGAAAAGCAGAACAGGAAGAAAGAGCTTAAGGTTAGAGTAGCTTCGGACAACAGGATTTGGAATTTTATTTCCTGATATTTGGACAACTTGCCTTCGATTGGCTATCATCAACACGACTCAACCACTGACTTAGTTTACTTTGCAGCTTCCACTTGTCGAGGTGTTCTCTGCTGTTTTCTGGATGTTAAACCAACAACAGCCTTCCCCCGTTGTGAGTCAAGATGGGTGGGTCAATGAATGTTAGGTGGCTGTGTGACATAGATGTGTCAGGATTTTCAAACCCTCAGGTTTCACCATCTGTCTTTTATCATAAGCTAATGCAGGAAATTAAGTAGAGGACTATTGTCATGTTTAGTCTGCATGACAAACTCTGATGGTTATGTGACAGTGTGAGCGTCCTGTCACAATGTCCCGATTGATCATGCGCCCGGGCTACTTGGCCCTGGGGATGTCCCTTTGGCTGACTGGTAAGCGCACATGATTCTCACCCGGGAGTCAGGGGATCGAATCCCGCCCGGGCCCTCGTTTCTCCACCTTGCCACAGTTATAATCAGAAATGGTATTGAAAAATTATTTTTTAATGAAGTTGAACTTTAACATGAGAATTTTCCCACTATGGGATTACTAAAGTATATTCATTTATGATTTGTAACACCAGTACACCCCATTAGTGGTTTTATTGAATGTGAATGGCTTGATGGAACAGGCTTGTGTCGTCATGCACCGATTCTCCCCATCTGGGTAATGTCGAATCCAGAACCCCCTACCCTGGACTGTAAATGCTAACATCTACTCCCCCTTCAAGTAGCTAGCAAAGAGTTTAATCTCCACAGTTTTAAAGATGTGATTTCTTTCTTATCTAGTCTGCACTTTTGGATGTATTTTTAGCTGTGAGAGGTACAGGAATTTGGATTTGAAATGCAATAAATGGAGATTTTATTTTGAAGTTATTGCCCAGCCCTACAACGGGGTATTCCACTCATGACTCTAGGCACCTCAACTAGCGTTGCTTCGTGTTTGGGTCCTCCAAGCAGGGAAAGTATGATTCATGCACAGAGAGCAGCAGGGTGAGAGATGGTCAGAGGAGCAGTTTGATGGATGAGCAGTGATCCAATCATCATCAAAGACGAGTGTAACATGCAGACTGAACGTGAAGTGAGTTTCTACCCCTTTTTTTCAACATTAGCCTCAAATAGAACATAGACAGAAAAAAAAGCTTGGTTTAAAAAAGACTGACAGATCTACATCACACTGTCAGCATTTAGCATTCATGGACTCACTTATCTTGGCTCACAGTTGGAAGGCTGTTGTTGATTTAGCGACCAGGAAAGAGCAGAGCACATCTTGACTAGTGGATAGGGCTGTCACGGTAACCGCAAAAATGAAATATCGCAATATGAAGAAACCCACCGCGCTGCATCATGGGCCACCGCGATTACTGAACTTGATTCAACTCAGTGATGCATGTTGAGAAGGATGGCTGCACTGGTATCAAAACGAAACGTTCCTTCGCTCCTTTGGGAGCACTTTGGTTTTCAGTACGTCAGCTGCTGCGCAGCCAGGGTCCTTGGCCGAGACAGAGCTGCCACCAGCGGCAAAAAAAAAAAAAAGAACGCTCGGAGACCTGCTGAAGTCCCGGCCAAGCACTGCTTCTGCAACCGTCCCGAAGAGAGTTTGAGCCGAGCTGGAGCTCACTCGCTACCTGCAGGAGGAATGCATCCACCCTAAAGAACCCCCCTGACATGGTGGAGCAACAACCGGGAGAGATTCCCTTTGCTCGCCAGAGTCGCACGCAAGTACGTGTGCGTTAGTGCAACAAGCGCACCATCCAAGAGGGTTTTCAGTGTTGCTGGAAATGTTGACACCCCTCTCAGATCCTCTCTCAAACCGTATATGGTTAACATGCTGGTTTTCCTTGTGGGTAACAAGGACGTGACCGAGCTATAAATCACCGTCATTCGTGTGTGTGAAAGTGAAATGATAGTGCCCCGCGCTCGGTACATGTAATTTTTTATGCTTGATTTTAAACAACTAAACAAAATGGGGACTTGTTTCTTATTTGTTAGATGCTGCAGCCAAATTTGCATTTAAAAGTTTAACCGTCTCCTGAATTTTGTTTTTAAGTTCAGTCGGACTCCGACTGTTGGAGAAACAAACGTTACTGCGATCTGTGTTGTTACTGCCCTTTGATCTGCATTCAGTAAAGTGTTATAAAAGAAGGCACGGCAATTTTTAACCTTTTTTAAATGTGTAAACATTATGTTTAGATAGTACTGCAATAAATAAAAAAGGTGCTGCAATAATATCGCACACCGCAATATTAAGCCACCCTGAATCACCGCAGGGGGAATTCCTCAACCGCGACAGCCCTACTAGTGGAAGCTAACTGTTAGCATTAGCAACTCCACAACATGGCAGAACTCCTTCAGGCTTGTGTTATTTGTGGAGACAAAACATCATTTCAAAGCAAACCAAGACAGTGATAGTCATGTTGCTGTTAGCCAGTTGAGATGTCAGAATATTATCAAATAAGACCACAAATCCTGCTGTCTGCTGCCTTATTTTTATATTCTCAAACAGGTGCATCTGAGCTTTTTTTTCTCCCGAAGAGAATGGCGCCCGGAACACAACAGCTGCGAAGTGGATCGCTCACGAAATTTGTGCGATGCCCGCTTCTCCGCTGTTCACACATCAGGCTAGAATTTTCGATGAGCGCTTCTGCTCACGCCTACTGTTTTCCAAAAACACCTTTAAAGGGACTTTTTGGACTTTTGAATTTTTGAATGCTCGCGATTGCCCCCTCAGGCCAAAAGCGCAATGGCAGCTTCAATAGCAGGCTCGTGCACGAGGCGCGCATGCTGTACGTGCACACTCCTTAACGAAAATAACAGCTGAGACAGAGCACAGAGCTCTGAGAGGGTCCCGTGTGTGTGTGTGTGTGTGTGTGTGTGTGTGTGTGTGTGTGTGTGTGTGTGTGTGTGTGTGTGTGTGTGTGTGTGTGTGTGTGTGTGTGTGTGTGTGTGTGTGTGTGTGTGTGTGTGTGTGTGTGTGTGGCGTGTGTGTGGCCCGGAGGACAGAAGAACACAGCAAATTATTAAAATAATGAACCTCTATCTCTGCAGCTGCACTTTCTCGTCGGCCGGCCGAACGTGCAGTGTGTGTGTGTGCGTGCGTGTGCGTGTGGCCCGGAGGACAGGAGAACATGCAGCTAATTAATTAAATAATTTGGTTCTGTACATTTTTCTTCAGCACAGCCAACAAAGGTTTATGATGGGTCCGTCCTCCTGCATGCTCAGATCATTCCCTTCCCTTGCTTGAAAAATTGTTCCAAAATGAAAGTTGAACCCACATCTTGTTTATCTGTGAATTCAATGCCTTTCGGCGAAGCTCAAATGAAAATTTGGGCGTCTTTTTATTGTAGAAAAAAAAAAACCATTAATGTAAAAAAGAAACTCCAAATAAACTATGTTTACACCCGGATTTGAACCCAGGCCCCCAGCATGAGAGTCTGCCATCTTACTAGGTGAGCTAAAGCACCAGTGACATTGATTCTAGGGCTGCAACTAACGATTATTTTCATAATCGATTAATCTGTCGATTATTTTTTCGATTAATCGATTAATCGGTTTGTTATTGTTTAGCTATTTAACCTATACAAGTGATGGATGCATTTCAGTTAAGAAAAAAAAAACATAAGAGAATTGTGCAGTTGACTGCAATCTATTTTATTGCACATGAACACAGTCAGCAGTATAAAATGAGCTAAACAGTGCAAAATATCAGTCCAGAATAATTTTTTAGCATTAGCTGGAAGCCTGCTCCTTCCACCATGGATAGTGGCCTCATGTCTTTTACCAGCATGTTTAGAATAGAGTTTGTAAGTGGTATGAATTGCTGGGGGGTGAGTGTCTTGTTCCCCATGTAGTTGTCCATCGTTGCTTGTTTTTTTTCTGCATAAGAAACACAAATAGACTGAAATAAGTACACATATAAAATAAAGCAGCACACACACTACAACACTAAATCAATATTATATTATTTGAATTAATTAACAATATACAGTGATCATTTAGTTTGAGGGTTACGTTCTACAAAATAGCCCGCAACAGGAGATATTCAGAAAAAAATTCTAATTTTTTTACTATTAAAAAGCTCTAAGAAGCTCATGAGGTTTTTACTTTCAGTCGGGAGTGTTTAAATTAGCTAGAGAAATGTGAAAAATGTTTATTTTGTGTAATACTGTTTAAGAAACATGATAAAAATGTGTTGTGAGGCGTTTTACAGCGTTAGACAGTAAAACAGCCTTTTAATAGTAAAAAAATGACTTTTTCTGAATTTCTCCTGTATTTAAAAATTGAAAGCGTACAACTATGCCGCGTTATATTCACCTGGACACAGCTCGTCTGTAAATTTTTCACCGCGGAGTTGTCCTTTTTTGAATGAGGAACATAGTTATGGGTTTGTGCCGTTTTTCTCTTAACGAGAACATTCTTATAAACAGACGTGCTGAATTTGGCAAGCGCATGATTCACAACACGGAGGAGATTCACGATGGCATCTAGTCAATCAGAAGTAGAACACCGTAGACTGACGCGGCAAAAAACATGTTTAACATCCAGTATAACAAACTCAGCTAAAACAATAAGTCCAGCTTGTTTATTTTCTGTTACTTACCGGGCTGGCTCTTCCAAATGACGGCTCACTTGACCGCGGTGCTCTTCCTCTGCTGCATCAGCCCCCACATGTTTTCGTCTCAAATGTTCACTTAGGGACGTCGTGCTTCCGTGCCATGCTAGATGTTTTTTGCATATTTTGCAGGTCACCCGTCTTTTCAAGGCATCTAGAGTAAAGTGCTCCCATACTCGTGAGGTTTTTGTCCGGGGTTTCTCTTCAGTTTTGTCGCTTCTATTTTTCTTCCGTATTTCCTCTTGTTCCGCCATCTCTCACAGCAAGATGAGCGTCAGTAACGTGATACGTCATGAAAACCGAGGGCACTCATTGGCTCATTTCTTCTTCTACGGCTCCACTGGTAGATCAGTGGCTCATTACTGCCACACACTGGCGGCAAATTTAACAGCTTGTAACCGATGTCAGATTGTGGTAAAAATAGACTTTATGCGGTAAAATATGATTATTAAACAACTACTCGATGACTAAAAAAATTGTTAACTATTTTAATAATCGATTATAATCGATTAAATCGATTAGATGTTTCAGCTCTAATTGATTCTATCTATAACGTTTAAATCTTTGATGACAGCTGAAACAACATCAATCCAAAGAACGGTTCGGAGCGAAAATGGCTATTTTGTTGCTAATTTGCAGGAAATTTCTAGAAGAAATTTCTACAGAAAGTAGTTAAGGGTCCTCAGAAATGTAGCTAGGTTTGTCTCTAGGCGTTAGGAACAGCGACAAAGTCACTGAGTTGGCACCACCTCTCTCTCTGCTGCTAAAGCTACGGATAGCAAACGCTACGGGCTATGCCTGAGCATAAACACGCATGAAGCAGCCTGCTCGACCCGAGCAACTCTTTTTCTCTGATTTTTACAGAAAAACAGGCAGTCACAGTAAAAATGCCAGGGCTCATTCTACAGGACCAGGGCATTGCAGAAGAATGTATGAAGAAGACATTTATTATTTATATACGTTTTGGCTGTCAAACTTCCTTATAGTCCCTTTAATCAGCATTTTGTTTGGCCTGTTTTTCTGTCTAGAACTCCCGCTGCATTATGTCTGGAAAGATGAGGATGTTCTGACTGACCAGCAGCTCTGTAACCAGGAGAGGACCTTGGATCAAGATGAACCACAAGTTTTATGGGTGGGGCCAGAACCATCAGAGATGAAAGAGGAGCAAGGTGACCCAGAACCTTTGCCGATTCTAGAACAACGGGAGCTCAGCATCCGTCAAAATAAAGAGCAGCTGGTACTGAAACTGGAGACCGTTACCTCCCTTGTGAATTCTACTTCTGAGGAACAAGACCACAATGAACCAGAACCAAACCGTGACCAACTCCTATTTTCATTGCTTCCTGATGCTGAGATCCAAGAACAGGAAGGAAGCAGAGAAGAAGATGTTGAATCTGGCAGAGATGAAGAGATGACACAAAATCAGAGAAGTCCACAAACAAGAGATACCAGAGGCAATGAAGACGGTTCAAAACTAGAAAAGCCTGGAAACCTTCACACAGGTAAAAATTTATCAGCATGCAGGAGAAATTAGCTTCAGATGACATGATTTGGAAGCTTATTTCCTTGTATTTGGGCATCTTTCCTCGGATTGGACAAGAGCATTGCAACACTACCACTGGCTCTGTTTGCGTTGCAACGTTGATGTTTTATCTCCCCAAATACCACAAGCCTGAAGGAGTCCTGCCATGTGGTGGACTTGCTAATGCTAACAGTTAGCTTATACTGGGCAAGGCAACTTTAATTATGTAGCACATTTCATACACAGGCAATTCAATGTGTTTACCAGGTGAAAGATCAGCAAGAACATAAAACAGTAAAATCAATGTGACAACATGAAACTATACTTGTTAAAACATTCTCTGCTGTTTCTTGGACGGTAAACCGTCCTGTCGTGAGCCAAGATGGGTGAGTGCATGAATGTTAAGTGACAGTGTGACATAGATCTGTCAGGATTTTCATATCCTAGAGATTCACAGTCTATTTTCTATCAGAAGCTAATGCAGGAAATAGGGTTAGAAGACTATTTTAATGTTCAGCCTGCATGAGCGATTGTATATAATTAGAAATAATCATTAAAATAAGTTTGTCTTGGGCCAGCTCCTCAAGGGGAATCCTAGGGCCGTATTACTGAAATGTAATGGTACGAGGGCTACTCGACAAAACGACCTGGAAGGTCTACACACAACACATAAACCTAAAATATCTATTGGGCTATTGAGTGCCACAGTCCTAGGCTGTTCCCAGGCCAGACGAGTCACAGTCCCTTAAGCATGTCTTGGGTCTTCTTTGGGCCTCTTTCTGTTTGGATGTGATTGGAGAAACCTCTCCAGGCAGGCATCTAAGAGGCATCCAAACCAAGTACTATTGCCACCTCAACTGGCTCCTCTCAGTGGTGGAGCGGTGGATATACTCCAAACTGCTCCCAGATGACTGAGCTTCTCTAAGGGAACTTATAACTGATCCGTAATAAAAGTGGAAATTCGGTGACACTAGGATTTATATAGCCCAGACGCCCTGCAGAGAAAACTAATTTCAGCCGCTTGTATCCACAGTCTTATTCGATTGGTCACTACCCAAAGCATGTAACCGAAGATGATGATTGGAATGTAGACAACCGGTAAATCAAGAGCTTTGCCTTAATATCGTTATTGTCCCAAAAATCTCATATCGGTGCATTCCTATTTAATACATTTGAAGGCTGTCCTTACCTTCGGTTTTCCTCCTTGCATTAGGGGTAGAACAAGAAGAACATGCTTTTTATAAAGCACCTCTGGATAAAATTTACAAGTTGCTTCACAAGCACATTAAACATTTTTTAAAGTTTAGAAAAGATCGTAATGGGAGAAATAATGGCTTTTAATGTTATGATTGGATAATATATATTATATAGTATACTATACTATATAATATAGTATACTAGTGAACATTTTTTTGCCTGTACAGAACTCCCACAGCATCATATCCGGGAAAAGGAGATGGTTCTGACGGAACACCTTGTCGGTAACCAGGAGACGACCTCCAGTTTGGACCAGGAGGAGCCAGCATCTCCACTGCTGAAAGAGGAACATCAGGACATCTGTATCAGTCAGAAAGAAGGGCAGTTCACTCTGAAGCCGGCTTCTCTTTCTGAAGACACAGAGTCAACATCAAACGGGCATGAAAATTTTACACAAAATAACATATGTAAACAAACTAAAAGGCACAGAGACAGTTTTGACAGTCGCAAGAGGCCATTTTCATGTAAAGTATGTGGAAAATCTTTCAGTCACAATTGTTTTTTAATACATCACATGAGAACACACACAGGTGAGAAGCCATTTTCATGTGAAACTTGTGGAAAATGTTTCTCTGAGAAGAGTAACTTGACTAAGCACATGAGAACTCACACCGGTGAAAAGCCATTTGCATGCAAAACTTGTGGTAGACGTTTCTCTCAAAGGGGTGTCTTGACTTGTCACATGAGAATTCACACATGTGAGAAGCCATTTCCATGTGAAACATGTGGAAAATGTTTCTCTCAGAAGAGTCACTTGACTACGCACATGAGAACTCACACATGTGAGAAGCCATTTGCATGCAAAACTTGTGGTAGACGTTTCTCTCAGAGTGGTGTCTTGACATATCACATGAGAACTCACACAGGTGAGAAGCCCTATTGTTGTGAAACCTGTGGTAGATGTTTCTCTAGAAAGGCTGATTTGACTCTTCACATGAGAACACACACAGTTGAGAAGCCATTTCAATGCAAAACTTGTGGTAAATGTTTCTCTCAAAGTAATAACTTGGCTAAGCACATGAGAACTCACACAGGTGAGAAGCCATTTCCATGTGAAATTTGTGGTAAAAGATTTTCTCAGAGTTGTAACTTGACTCTTCACATAAGAAGCCACACAGTTGAGAATTCCTATTCATGTGAATCTTTTGGTAAATGTTTCTCTAAAAATGGTGACTTGACTCTTCACATGAGAACCCACGCAGGTGAGAAGTCATTTCCATGTAAAACTTGTGGTAAATGTTTCTCTCAGCATAAATACTTGACTAGGCACATGAGAATTCACACAGGTGAGAAGCCATTTCCATGTGAAACCTGTGGTAAATGTTTCTCTCGAAGTGATCACTTGGCTGTTCACAAAATGACTCACACAGGTGAGAAGCCATTTCCACGTGAAACTTATAAATGTCTCTCCGACAGTGGTGTCTCGACTTGTCGCATGGGAACTCACACAGGTGATAATCCCCAATCTTGTGAAATCTGTGGTATATGTTTCTCTAAAAATGCTGATTTGACTGTTCACATGAGAGCACACAAAGGTGAGAAGTCATTTCGGTGCGAAACTTGTGGTAAACATTTCTCTCAGAGTAATCACTTGACTAAGCACATGAGAACACACACAGGTGAGAAGCCATTTCCGTGTGAAACTTGTGGGAAACGTTTCTCTCGAAGTGATCACTTGGCTGTTCACATGAGAACTCACACAGGTGAGAAGCCATTTCCATGTGAAACTTGTGGGAAATGTTTCTCTCAAGGTGGTGTCTTGACTTCTCACATGAGAACTCACACAGGTGAGAAGCCGTATTCATGTAAAAAATGTGGTAAATGTTTCTCTCAGAACAGTAGCTTGGTTCAGCACATAAGAACTCACACAGGGGAGAAGCCTTTTCCATGTTTGATCTGTGGAAGGAGATACAGACAGTCGTCAGCTTTAGGTCTTCACATGAGAATTCACACTTAATGTTTTTCGTGTATTGGTACCAATATCATGGTAACTGTTGTAGCAAGTAACCATCTCTCAAGTCACACTCAGGTCATTAGTGTTTGATATCCAAGTCACATAGGATTATTCCAAGTCGAGTCAAGTCACTAGGTCCTAAAGGGCCTTTTTCATTTTGGCTTGCAGCAATTTAGTTCTGACTGTATTTTTATTTTAATGTCAATAAATGAAAATAAAAGATTTTTTTTAAAAAGGGCCAAGTCTGCGTCCCAAGTCCAGCATCTAGTTTCAACTGCCACTTATGTTTGCACATAGAAATAAAATGATATTACTATTGTCAGAATTAGAATGTAGCTGATGCTAATATTAGTGTGGTATATTAGCCCAAATTACTGTGTTAATAATACATTTTATTTAAAAGCACGTTTGACAACACCCAAAAACACTTTGCAATAGAGAAAACATAGACAAAGAACATAAACACCATCCTTCAATTTTCCTCCGCTTGTCCGGAGTTGGGTCACGGAGGCAACAGCCTAAAGGTTGGTTTATGCTTGACGCGTCCGCGAGGTCCGCGCGGAAAAGTTGCGTCATTTTGCGTCATTTTAACAACCACGCCCCTCCGCCGCGCCTCCGCACGGCCCAGAATTTCCGCAACGCGCACCTCGGAAAATATCTAACCACGCGGACGGTCGGACGCGGAAAAACATGGCGGACCGGCAAGAACTAGTACGGCAGAGGTTCGTAAACACAGACATTTGTATGATTCAGCTCTCAGAGATCACCGTGATCAACATGTTGTTAATAATTCTTGGAGAGAAATAGCTCGCACTGTCGGAAAAGACGAGAACGCTGTTAAAAATGCTGAAATGCCATGTTGTAAACAACAGTCATTTCTACTTCTACTATGGTGTAGTGTTGGATGCATGCTGTAGAGCTCCATGCTGCCCCGTTCAGTTTGGGAGAATATTGGCTCACCGCAGAGACAAGCCGCACAAACCATAAACACTGCGAGTTGTGAAGCGCGTTCCAGCCGCGAGCCGCATCACCGCGCGGAAAGTGAATGCGTCAAGCATAAACCAAGCTTTAGTCGGGAGGCCCAGACTTCCCTCTCCCCAGCGTGTCCTGGGTCTCCCTTTGTTGCAAGCTCTCGCATGCCAAAAACAATGGAGGCAATAAACGAAGTCATAAGGAGCGCAAAGATTAGCTCAAGCTCGCTCGTGCGAGTGGAATCAGGCAGGAGTGGTCCAACTGAACAGGAAGCAGCAAAGGAGGTGGGGCAGAAGAAGGCCAACTGAAGATGAAAGTCCTCCGTGGGGAAGCTTTGGACTTTGGGTGGAGCTGAAACCAGCTTACACATATAACGATCATATGGGTTTGGCTGTCTTGTGTTTGACTAAGATATGTAACTGACAAATAATCATATTGTTTTGCTGTCTTGTGATAAAAAGATGTATGTAACTGGCAAATGATTACATTGTTTAGGCTGTCTCATGACTTATGGAAAATGTTTTGCTTGGCAGTTTTTTAGAATGATATATAAAGGGCTGTTAGAAGTAGATAGAGAGTTGGTGTTACATTGTTGACACAAGTCGACGAGGTAGCACCGACAGGTGCAGGAAGAGAGAGCAGTTATTCTCAGGAAGATTTTTAGAAGCAGCATCCTCCTAAGGGGATTTTTTAATCTCAGATTTCCTTTTTTTTTTTTTTTTTTTTGTATTTTTTAATCTTGAAATAAACTTTTTGGAAAAAGAATCCTCATTCTCAATTTGTAAAGGTCTCTATTAGCCTTTGAGTTGGGAGCCCCGACCAGATCTAAAGGAGAGGTAAGCCACCATAAATTGCTTGTTCCTGTGCTTCAGGACTTGTTTTCAGATTGTGACAGATTAAGAAACGATACCTTAGGTGACGGGATCTAGTCTCCCCTCCTCCCTATTGTAGCAGGACACCCTAAGGATTATAAGTCATAATGGTTAGCTGGTTCAAACAGGCTCTGTTCTGCATGTGTGAAAAAGTCTCTGTTTAGCATGGGAAGGAACCATTTCAAAGGGTGGATTAATTAGATTAATTGATCAATTCATGTCAGCCTGTTCAACTAACAGGAATCATTTTCTAATTACCATCGCCCACATTGCTGACAGAGGTGCAAATTAATCCTGATGGGACCCAAATAATAGTCAGCTGGATGGCCTCCAGTGAACTTCCGCCCTAGTATTTAAAACAATTAAATAAAGGGAGATTTAAAAGGGAAGTGTGCTGTCACAGAAGAACAAGTACGGCAATCTCCATTCCACCTTAAAATAGAAAATGAGTTCTAATTAGGGAGTCCAAACCAGGGTCTGTACAATAAAACTCACCTGCGGCCTCAACCCCTCCTGAAAAAGCAGCATATTCTAAGGTTCTAACGGAACCGATAAAAGTACACGCTCGCTACATGGCTTCCAACGGAGGGGCACTGAGTGAAGGTAAATACTAGATACCGGACTCACCGAAATAGGACTGTTTTCTAGGCTGACAAAAGCTTGCGCACCATGGACCTTGTAAGCTTTTAACCTTGGAGTAACCCCGGCTTTCCACGGGAGCCGTCAGCAGCACGTTACTGCAGCAGCACGTCATAGCTGCTGATAGGAACCGCTGTGGTCAACAGAACCTTTTCCATTGGAGCCGTCAGCAGCCGTCAGCAGCGCGAGTCGGCCGCGTCTCAGAAGCAGCATGTCGCGGCCTTTACGCGCCGGTTCTATTTTCTACGCGCGACGCCTCTGAAACGGGTCAAGTTCGACATTTTTGGGGAAGGAAAGACAGGAAATCGGACGCGGAAAAGGAGAGAAGCTACCGAGATTTTCAGAATAAAGAACGTACTGCTTTCCGGTTGCTTTACTTTTAAAAAAGGTTACTAACTGCGCGTCCCCGTGAGAAGTTATCACCTAGCTAGCGGTCTCCGTTGTTTTTCAGGTCCGTATTGGCGATTATAAAACGGACAGAACATAAAACACAAACCATGTTGTAATTTTCTCCTGCTTGTTGTTGTGTTTACTGACGAAGTCACTCGTGTGACTTCGTGCTCGGTCGGTGACAGCTGCTCCCCTGCTGCTTCGCGTCTCGTGGGAAGGGCCAAGCAGCAGTTTACGCGAGCAAGACGTGCTGCTGCAGTAACGTGCTGCTGACGGCTCCCGTGGAAACCCGGGGTCAGTGAAAAACCGCACCATCTCTCGAAAAGGAAAGAGATATGGAGAACGGAGGACTAACTGAAAGAAAGGGTAGGAAGAAACTACGGCATTCCGACGCGAGAAAAACCAAGGATACACCAGGAACAAATAAAAATAGAAAATTAATAATAAAACGTAAAAACTAATAAATAAATAAAAATAATAAAAACTTTTAACCAGCCATGGCAGATAGTTCTTTAACAGTAAAGCCGGGAAATATTCTCCCTAATGTGAGATTTGTAACCGGAGAAATAGCCGCATATCAAGGTGGACCACATGGCATATTAGCAGTTTCCTGTAACCGGAACTTTCAGAATGAAGCAGGAACAGCTCGAGCAGCAGCTGAGCGCTGTCCAAATGCTGAAGCCCAAGTAAGAAATGCTCATGTTTTTCCGTTTTGTGGGAGATTTGTTGCTTTTGGGAGAACAACACAGCGACCCCTCTTTCAGTCAAGTGGCATGGTGCTGTTGGGAAAACCCAGCAAGCCTCACTAGAGAAGAGCAATATGAGATCCTTTTGGGTCTGCTGGAGCAACTCCCAGCCGGACCGGAACCTTTAGTCCTGACTCCGTTCGGGGTCGGGCAGTACCGATGTGACCCAGTAGCTATGTACTCTGCCATGGCAGAGTTTATGGCTCAACAGGCTAGCAGTAGAATAATATACTTCTTATCTAGAAGCAAAAATGAGGCAGTTCAAATGAGACAGGCGTTATGCAACCGATTGGGAGTCACGGGGCTCCAAGCAGAAATGTACCGAAGAAGGGTTGCGGTTGAACTCCCATCTTCATTGGTTGAGGATCCACCAGTGCAGAGCGCGCCTCCTTTATATCCAGTGCTCCGTGGGGAATTCCCCGTGAGCCCCGGCTCCGAAAACGGATTCCCCGCACCCCCCACCGAACCCGCCACTGACTTCCCCGCCTGACGACTCGGTTCGGTCAGAGCAGTGGTATCCGTTTCTCCCTGTACCGAACCACATTACCCCTCAGGTGCCCATAAGGGGCTCGAGGAGACCGCCCACCGAATAGCATGTTTCAGTGTGGGAGAAGGAAGAGACCGTTTGGGGCTGAAAGAACAACAAACCCAATTCCTTTCCCCCCGTTAGAACCCCATAGCCCCGCAGTTCCCCAGAACCATGTCATGATAGGTCAAGAGCCAGTGATAATTCTGTCAGGCAAGAAAATAGATGAAGAGCTCCAAGAGGAAGATGTGTTGATCTTTCTGAAAGATCCACAAAACTCTGCCGAACCACATCCTCTCTGAGCTCCCTGAGGAGACTCCTGGGAGGAAGAGGTAGAAGTTCCATGATCCCACTAGTAGATCGTAATAATGAGGGAGGGGAAATAACTACTCTCTTAGATAGGGAGCCAGGAAATCTGCAAGACTGAATACGGACTACTTCCGTAATGAATGTGGACCCGAGCAGCCCTGACATCACCTTCTACCAAGCTTGGGAGCGGGTAGTGTCTGACATCACCTTCTACCAAGCTTGGGAGCGGGTAGTGTCAGAGGCCCTGGATTTAGGAGCACGACGACTAGTGTTGAAGCTCGATAACAAACCCCAGGTATGCTGGATAAATGAGGCGTTTGGTGCAGGCTTGGTGGTCTACTCTGAAGCCTCTAGCAGTCTGGGAGATATCCCAGTGGTAATTTTGGTAGAAAAAACAACCCTGACCCGAATAGAGAAGAAAGTCAAAAAATGGTTTGAGGCCAGAGATAGAAGCAGTGAGAGTGAGACTGAATCTGAGGAAGATGAACAGGGGCCCCAATTAGTGGTGCGTGGCACACCAAGGGGGACGCCCAAGTCAGAGCACGGGTCCCAACAAAGGTGCAGCACTCGAATCTCGGGTGGCAAAACACCTGAAAGAGTGACCTGGCTCTCCCCAGTAACAGCCCATGAGAGATGTGAAGACAGAGAAAGTGTGGAACAGCCACCCCAGCCAGCAGTAAAAGGAGGCAGGACGAATCCCATATCTTATGGCATAAGAGGACTAAATAAAAACAGCCGCCCAGTGCAGATAAAATATTATGACCCTCAGGCACCTCCTAACATA